TGTCCAATTTCCTCCTGATATCCACGGGTTGTTCCGGTCATTATACACAAAGAGTATACAGAGAGAAAGATTTAGGAGTGGATATAATTCTAACTGAAACCACACACACAAACAGGGTAACATCAGCGGCATGTGAGAGGCTGACAAATATAACAACATCGTTTAGACACCTAAATCAGGACTCTAAGCAAATCTACACATTTCTTACACATGAGAAAGAGCTACACACCACGGGGGTGTATAGGGGGCGTCTAGGGCGCCCCTGGGGTGTGTAGCTCACTAGGGCGCCCCGGGGTAGGGGAGATGGGAGAGGTCAACTTACTGCAGAAGGTGGAGGGCGTGGCTGCCCAAGTGTTGACGTCGACACGATAGTGTCTGGCGGGAACAGGGCAGCCACTGCTCCTGCTGCTGCTGTACCTGGATTTGCTCTACCTGGTGCTACTGTACCTGCTGTTGCTGTACCTGGTGCTACTGTACCTGCTGTTGCTGCTGCACCTGGTACAGTGTGAGAGTAACGCGGGCGTCACCGTACCTTCACAGTAAGAGATAATTTACCTCAGAGACAAGAACAGTGATCGTGGCTCACCTCTCCGACCTCCCTTTCCCAGGCTCAACTTTCCAAAGGTAAATGGACCTCCCTCAATTACCCATCCTCCCTCAACCCCCCCCCCCACCTACCCTTCCTCCCTCATCCCCACCTACCCTTCTTTCCCCCTATAGTCAATCCGTTTATCAGGTTTTACAACACTTCATCTTGTTTATTGTGTGTATGTGTACTAGAGGTATTTTGACAGTGAGGGGGAGTGGCTCTGGGGTGTGGGGTGCAGCTGGGGGGATGCGGCTGTGGCAGGTGTGGGGTGAGGTGTGGCTGCAGCTCTCATGACGCCCCGTCCTCCTAAGGTCCCCAACGTCAAGAAACTGACGTACTAACGTGCCCTATCCTAACATTCCCTCAGGAGCCACAGTTCCCGTCTAAGAGCTTAACTTGAATTCATAATTCTCATTTCTTAGGCTTTTGTTAATTTATCGTCTAAGTGACGTGTTATGTGTTCTTGTGTATACGTAAATAAACGTATTTATTGCCAGTTAAAAATATATCTTATTTGATTATATATATTCAGTGTATGTAGAATATGTAAAATGCCAAGTGGGTGGTGTGTGGGGCCAGATATCTCCCAGTGGGTGGTGTGTGGGGCCAGATATCTCCCAGTGGGTGGTGTGTGGGGCCAGATATCTCCCAGTGGGTGGTGTGTGGGGCCAGATATTTCCCAGTGGGTGGTGTGTGGGGCCAGATATCTCCCAGTGGGTGGTGTGTGGGGCCAGATATCTCCCAGTGGGTGGTGTGTGGGGCCAGATATCTCCCAGTGGGTGGTGTGTGGGGCCAGATATCTCCCAGTGGGTGGTGTGTGGGGCCAGATATCTCCCAGTGGGTGGTGTGTGGGGCCAGATATCTCCCAGTGGGTGGTGTGTGGGGCCAGATATCTCCCAGTGGGTGGTGTGTGGGGCCAGATATCTCCCAGTGGGTGGTGTGTGGGGCCAGATATCTCCCAGTGGGTGGTGTGTGGGGCCAGATATTTCCCAGTGGGCGGTGTGTGGGGCCAGATATCTCCCAGTGGGTGGTGTGTGAGCCAGATATCTCCCAGTGGGTGGTGTGTGGGGCCAGATATCTCCCAGTGGGTGGTGTGTGGGGCCAGATATCTCCCAGTGGGCGGTGTGTGAGCCAGATATCTCCCAGTGGGTGGTGTGTGGGGCCAGATATCTCCCAGTGGGTGGTGTGTGGGGCCAGATATCTCCCAGTGGGTGGTGTGTGGGGCCAGATATCTCCCAGTGGGTGGTGTGTGGGGCCAGATATCTCCCAGTGGGTGGTGTGTGGGGCCAGATATCTCCCAGTGGGCGGTGTGTGAGCCAGATATCTCCCAGTGGGTGGTGTGTGGGGCCAGATATCTCCCAGTGGGTGGTGTGTGGGGCCAGATATCTCCCAGTGGGTGGTGTGTGGGGCCAGATATCTCCCAGTGGGTGGTGTGTGGGGCCAGATATCTCCCAGTGGGTGGTGTGTGGGGCCAGATATCTCCCAGTGGGCGGTGTGTGGGGCCAGATATCTCCCAGTGGGCGGTGTGTGGGGCCAGATATCTCCCAGTGGGTGGTGTGTGGGGCCAGATATCTCCCAGTGGGTGGTGTGTGAGCCAGATATCTCCCAGTGGGTGGTGTGTGGGGCCAGATATCTCCCAGTGGGCGGTGTGTGGGGCCAGATCTCCACTGAAGAAGTACCTGAAGGGTTGCAAAGAGCCACTTGCCCGGTATTTAAGTAGTGGGTGGGGTCGTTGGCGGTACACAAGCAGGTGGGTGTTTTATCCAGTATGGTGATGTTTGCTGAGGGCGGACAGGGAGGGGGTGAGTGTTGGGCATGGGGTGGGGGCGCTGGGCACGGGGTGGGGGCGCTGGGCATGGGGTGGGGGGGCGCTGGGCATGGGGTGGGGGGGCGCTGGGCATGGGGTGGGGGGGGCGCTGGGCATGGGGTGGGGGGGCGCTGGGAAGGGGGGTGTGTGTTCAGTGGTGCGAGACTGTCCCATCTCTGTGGGCCCACTGCATCACACATGATGTACCCCAGCACCAAAATACTTAAACACTCACCTTGCTGTTAAACGTTAAGTTCGCATATATTACTTTATATGTAATTCACAAGTAGTTATGTGAATGTTGACAGGTGCCAAGCGCAGGCAGGTGTGGCGTGCCAAGCGCAGGCAGGTGTGGCGTGCCAAGCGCAGGCAGGTGTGGCGTGCCAAGCGCAGGCAGGTGTGGCGTGCCAAGCGCAGGCAGGTGTGGCGTGCCAAGCGCAGGCAGGTGTGGCGTGCCAAGCGCAGGCAGGTGTGGCGTGCCAAGCGCAGGCAGGTGTGGCGTGCCAAGCGCAGGCAGGTGTGGCGTGCCAAGCGCAGGCAGGTGTGGCGTGCCAAGCGCAGGCAGGTGTGGCGTGCCAAGCGCAGGCAGGTGTGGCGTGCCAAGCGCAGGCAGGTGTGGCGTGTGGCCAAGCGCAGGCAGGTGTGACGTGCCAAGCGCAGGCAGGTGTGACGTGCCAAGCGCAGGCAGGTGTGACGTGCCAAGCGCAGGCAGGTGTGGCGTACCAAGCGCAGGCAGGTGTGGCGTACCAAGCGCAGGCAGGTGTGGCGTACCAAGCGCAGGCAGGTGTGGCGTACCAAGCGCAGGCAGGTGTGGCGTACCAAGCGCATCGAATATAAAATTGTGTAAATATTAATGTTTATTCAGTAACACTGTAGGAAGATCAACAAATAAGCAGGTTATTTACACCAATAACGTAGGCAATTATGTAAGTATTAGGGCAAGAGAGGCTATGTAAGACGGTTGATTGTTGATTGATTACGGTTGTTGAATGTAAGACGGATGACTGTTGATTGATTAGGAACCCTTACATAGCCTCATAGATGAGGCTATGTAAGGGTTCGTAAACTAACATGGAGAGAGAGATGCTAGAGGACCTCACTCGTCACCACCTCTCTACCCGGAGATAAAATCACAACTTCAGACCGATACAGGAACTGCCTTGGGCGTATGCAAATGAGCAGATGAAACCCACGTGAAACGAGACGCGTGATAATTCCCTGCAAGGCGCGGATGAGCCGTGGATTGCATAAATAACAAGTGATCGATGGTGATTGGGGGGTGATCTACATTCCGTTTTCTTCACGTCGTGTAATCTGTGCCGGTGAAGGTAATGAAATCTACATACTATTCAATCCTCCCCCGTGGCATTACTCGCTGATATGTGGCAGTTGATTACAAGTCGCTGAACATTCATCATGCGCTCGCGCATTCGCTCCGGGTAAAAACCCATTTCCTAGTCTCTGGACCGGAGTGGAGGGATGAGTTTGCTGACGTCACGGGTGGTGGTGGGAGGAGCTTGCTGACGTCACGGGTGGTGGTGGGAGGAGCTTGCTGACGTCACGGGTGGTGGTGGTGGGAGGAGCTTGTTGACGTCACGGGTGGTGGTGGGAGGAGCTTGCTGACGTCACGGGTGGTGGTGGGAGGAGCTTGCTGACGTCACGGGTGGTTGGGAGGAGCTGATGTCACGGGTGGTGGGTGGGAGGCGCTTGCTGACGTCACGGGTGGTGGTGGGAGGAGCTGCTGATGTCAGGAGGAGCTTGCTGACGTCACGGGTGGTGGTGGTGGGAGGAGCTTGCTGACATCACGGGTGGTGGTGGTGGAAGGAGCTTGCTGATGTCATGGGTGGTGGTGGGTGGAGCTTGCTGACGTCATGAGTGGTGATGGGAGGAGCTTGTCGATGTCACAGGTGGTGATGGGAGGAGCTTGCTGATGTCACGGGTGGTGGTGAGAGGAGCTTGACAATATAGGCAGTGATGGCAGGAATTACCAGACTTCACGAGAAGTCACGGGGAGAAACTTGTTTAGGCCGTGACTGGTCATGAAAGATGGAGTGGTAAGGGCCATTGAAGATATATAACAACCAGGAGAGTGTATACAGTAATGAAGCCCAGGTGAGCTCCATTGCCAGGCGTTGAATATAATTATACTGCCCCACACAATTAAAAATACCACTCTAATATCAAGTGCCTTTTGGAGGTATTTATTAACCTCAATCTTGAACATAAGTTTATCTGTATATTTAGATCATAGAAGGCAATCTGGGTACACGTTCCCTTGGTGGTTTCTCTTAAGTCTTTACATGTTCCACGGTTACACTGTTGCATTACAATGCACTACGAGTAGCCTTGGAACCTATATACACTAAGAAAACCAGAGTACGCATTCCCTTCTCAGAAGTATTTAATGTTCAAATTTTGAAACAGTCTCTCTCATATTTTCTACATATAGATTGATGTATCTATCTCGCAAATATTCCAATAGAATTTGTACAATTATAAGCATTTCCAATATTTTAGAGGTTTTATTGAATTAATTTAGGTTCTCCCACATGTGGTTAATTTGGCTACTGACTTATGTGATGTTAATGGAAGTGCCTCTTACAGGTTCTGGGGCGGTGGGTCTGGCACACTTCGACAAGTGCAGCCATGACGAGTGTCTGAGTGGGCTACACATCTGCTCTCACGACGATGGGGTCCTGCACCTGCTCACCCGCATCAACGAGCTCTCCATGGGATACACCGATGGTCGTCTCGAGCTGTGCGTCGTCGGAGGCTTCCAGGACGCAAGAGCCATTTGTGAGAAGGTCACACTCTCCCTCCTCAGTGAGTAAGCTCATTGTCTCTCTCCCCTCTCCACAGTAAGCTCGTCTCCCTCTTCCCTGCTGTTCCGTCTTGAATACTGCTAGATACCCGCTTTCCCCATCAGAGCAGGAGAGATTGCCGAAATACGAGGGGATACAAGGAATATATATGTCATACTTATACGATAAAGCACCTTAACTATTGGGATCATTTCATAGCTCTCCAATTGTACACTAGAAAGGAGACGACTTAGATATCAAATAATATTTACATAAAATACTGGAGGGCCAGGTCCCAAATTTACACAGCAAAATAACAAAGTGGAGTGAAAGGTACGGAAGGAATGCCCAATAGAACCAGTTTAGAACAGAGGTGCCCTAGGCGCAATCAGAGAACACTGTATGAACATCAGAGATCCATGGTTGTTCAACATCCTCCCATCGAGTTTAAAAAATATTGCCGGAACAAAAGTGGAACGTCTTTAAGAGAAAAATGGGTAGTTTTCTTCAATTAGTGCCGAAACAACCGGGCCTCTCCAGGCAACAGCCTGTTGGATCAAGTTCTCACAAGTCAAGCTTGGCTGCGGGAAAAGCTTGAGGAGTAGAAGAACTCTCGGAACCTTGTCCAGATGTAATCCATATCCAGGAAGAACCTTCCTTTTGGAATTACTCAGTCACTATGATAAAATCATAGAAGCATTGAAAAGAAAATCCAGATGTTGTATTCAGACTTTTATATATGATAAATGTGACCATGTAGCAATAGCACACACAATGAGTCCAAAGGAATAACAAAGTGGGGTGAATGTACAGTATATTCAATTTCCTGACAAACAGGTCACAAAAAATCACAGCAAACTGAATAAAATCAAGCATGATCATATTGAAAAACTGAACCCCAAGATAATGTCATTGTACAGCGAGTCATCCCAGGATCAGAAACAAAAATTGCAAATCACAGGTTTGTCATCCTTTTCTGACAATACCGAATCAGCATTAATACTGCCAATTGGAGATGCTGAAAACTAGAGATATTAATAGTCTTTCAATCAGCCAAACATCAAGTAAACATGTGGAAAACATTTTGAACATAAATGGAAAACATTATGTTCAAAAAACATTATGTTATATTTCAGTTCACTCCCTACAATACCTCGAGTCCTACCTTACTGACAGGCTCCAATATGTTTCTGTGAATAATACAATTTCTCCCACCCTACCCATCAACATTGGTGTTCCTCAGGGCAGCATACTTGGCCCTCTCCTCTTTCTCATCTACATTAATGACCTTCCAAATGCCTCCCAACACCTCAAACCAATTCTATTTGCTGACGACACAACCTTCATTTACTCCAGTCCTGACCCTCTTGCTCTAAATGCCACAGTAAATACTGAGCTAAATAAAGTCCATCTTTGGCTAACTGCCAACAAACTCACCCTTAACATTGACAAAACTTTCTATATTCTGTTTGGCAATAAATCCTCTAGTCAAATAAATCTCAAAATGAACAATACCCAAATTTGTAACAAATTAGATGGCAAATTCCTTGGCATTCTCATTGACCACAAGCTGAATTTCCAGGGACACATTCTAAATATATAAAAAAAAGTTTCAAAAACTGTGGGCATTCTTTCTAAGATCAGATATTATGTACCACGCCCTGCCCTGGTGACTCTCTATTACTCCCTTATCTATCCTTATCTCAACTATGGTATTTGTGCTTGGGGTTCTACTACCCAAAATCACTTACGTCCTCTAATTACCCAACACAAAGCTGCTATTAGAACAATATCCAACTCTGGCCCCAGACATCACTCGGTACCCCTACTCAAATCTCTGAATATGTTAGATATTAAGTCACTGCACATTCTCTCATGTGTATTAAACATATATAAAACGCTAAACTATAATGCCAATCCTGATCTCAAAAGCTTCATAGAAGGTTGTAACAGAACCCATAAGCACCACACCAGAAATAAATACAGTTTTGATATTCCTAGAGTACGACTTAATCAAACTAGAAATGCTCTGCAAATCAAGGGGCCCAGAATGTGGAATGACCTTCCCAACCATGTTAAAGACTGTACCTCTCTCAACCAGTTTAAGATAAAAACTAAACACTACCTAATAAATTCCCTGTAATCTACCTCACTCCTCTATTGTCGCCACACCCATGTCTGTTATTTTCTTTTTTTTTTTAATCAACACTGTTTGTCAACCTATTGTATTTGTGCTGCTTTTTCAGTCATGTTCCCCCTTTTTTTTTTTATCTTTATTTGTATTTGTTCTCAACACTTTTTAGTCTTTATGCTCAATTAGTATTAAGTTCTAGATATTAATGTTTTTCTTGCCCGAAACGCATTGCGTAATAGTGGCTTTAGGCATTGTATGTACTAGCTCTATCTATATATCAATCCATTAATGTAACATCACTTGTATGTATATACCTTACCTGAATAAACATCTGAGTTGTTCAGTTTACTGTATGTTAAAAGCGAAAAATTTAAACGGGATACAGGACACGAGATTTAATCAGATCTCAGTCCATAAATGACAAAGAATCTAGGATACAAAGATAAATTTTTCATAGGAATTAACCATAAATTCCTACGGTCTCTTAAAAATCGTATTCCAAAATTAAAGGTTGAAATACTGTACAAGTTCCTGTTATGATTTTTCTGATGTAATTATGCAGATGTTGATACTGTACAGTACTTATGAAATAATTAAGATTATTATGTCTTACATTATATTTCAGGTGTAAATATTGACTTGAGTGCTGATGAATTTAGTTACCTGTATTTATATATTTTCTTGTGAAATACACTAATTTTGAATTGCAATGATTCAAATGCTATTGTATATAAAACTTATAAATATCATTGTTGCAGATGCCATGCACAAAAGCCCACCACAGATCCACCTGGTTCTGCTATGCACCGGAGAGATGAACACCACGCTACGAGGCAACATCTCATGGCCACTTGTGAAGGGCATAGGTGCGTGCATGATCTGTATCATTAATCATGTGTTTTTGCCAAGTATAGGCATGCGTGTGTGTGTGTGTGTGTGTGTGTACTCACCTAATTGTACTCACCTAATTGTGCTTGCGGGGGTTGAGCTCTGGCTCTTTGGTCCCGCCTCTCAACCGTCAATCAACTGGTGTACAGATTCCTGAGCCTATTGGGCTCTATCATATCTACATTTGAAACTGTGAATGGAGTCAGCCTCCACCACATCACTTCCTAATGCATTCCATTTGCTAACTACTCTGACACTGAAAAAGTTCTTTCTAACGTCTCTGTGGCTCATTTGGGTACTCAGCTTCCACCTGTGTCCCCTTGTTCGCGTCCCACCAGTGTTGAAAAGTTCGTCCTTTGTTTTGTTCGTCCTTGTGTGTGTGTGTGTGTGTGTGTGTGTGTGTGTGTGTGTGTGTGTGTGTGTGTGTGTGTGTGTGTGTGTGTGTGTGTGTGTGTATTCACCTAATTGTGCTTGCGGGGGTTGAGCTCTGGTTCTTTGGTCCCGCCTCTCAACCGTCAATCAACAGGTGTACAGGTTCCCGAGCATATTGGGCTCTATCATATCTACACTTAAAACTGTGTATGGAGTCAGCCTCCACCACATCACTTCCTAATGCATTCCATTTGTCAACCACTCTGACACTAAAAAAGTTCTTTCTAATATCTCTGTGGCTCATTTGGGCACTCAGTTTCCACCTGTGTCCCCTAATGTGTGTGCCCCTTGTGTTAAATAGCCTGTCTTTATCTACGTGTGTGTGTGTGTGGTCGCATCACAACTGTAATGTTTCTGTTACGTGAATTATGGTGACAAACACACACTAAGAGAATATATATATATTTGGACGAATGTACAGTAGTATACAGAAGTTTGCAGGTGACACTTGGCGAGCAATGATGTGATAGTGAGTCGAGTGCACTGAGAGTCGGTGTTGAATGGTACAGTATCTCTCAAATGTCTGTTCTAAATCACTCTTGAAAGTAGACTTATCATTACTCGCTTCACGATTGCTCATGTGATCAGACCACACCTCATCGCCCTCTAAAGTTTGGAAGGAACGTTAACTGTAATTAGCACTAACTCATATCTTTTCCCTAATGAGTTTGGAGCAAGTATATTATTGGCATAATCTACTCGCTACACCATCATTCTATTTATCCCCTTAATTAAATTAGCAGGAATACTGATGTTGAAGCCATCGACTCATTTTAAAAAGAGTAAAACACTATTGGATATCATACAACTATATATTATATGTGCTTCAAAATTAGATTCAGTAATACTAAGCAAAATAAAATTGCATTTGACTGGGTATTAGGTATCCCCTAAAATTAATACTTTTATCATTTCCTGTGAATTAATTTTTTTACTCCAAAATTTGTGGTGGCCATTTGATGTTTGGAGAATGCTTTAGTACATAGATTTGAAACTTTTATTCCCTGTGCACTGTGGCATAAGGAAAAACTCTGTTAATAGGCTATGTAGACGTTAGAATCGATTTAAAAATAAAAAAAGGAGGCTCTGTACCTCTAATAAGGAGGGGGCCACATTCTGGTTCTGGTCCCTGGTAGGCCAAACAGGGCCCCTTTGGTGGCTGATTTGACTTAGTAGTGAGACATCTCACTGAGATGGCTTCAGGGAACTATCAAGAGGCTTCCATAGACAAGTGGACACAAGACCACTTGGAGAAGTTACAACAGGAATGGGCAAAAAGAACAAAATATGGGATTGGTTGTAATTCCTGCACTAATATTGGAAGAACACTGTCAAGGGAAACAACAGCAAAATGTACAAAGTTGGCAAACATAATGACATTTAAAAACCTAAACTGGAACTCATTTTAGATGACCTACACAACCGATGTGAGGCCAGTACTTAAAAATATTGTCATGTAATTAGCACCTCGTGAAACATAAAACTAAACTTGGAAAAGTGCAAATATATATTTGAAGACCTATTGTCTGAATTAAGAGGTCTGTCTGAACTGTTAAGTCACAAGGCCAAGTTGAGGGAACACAATCTCGCAACCCTAGACCAAAGAAGGAGCAGAAGGAATTTGATCACTATGTAAAACATACTGAGGGGATTAGAAACCATAGACAAGGACAACCTCCTTAAATTATATTGAGAGAATATAAGAAACACACAGGAAGAACTTGGAAATGTAAATGTCAAGGTAACATAATGAAACAATAGTACCCTGTGTAAATGGTCTAAAAGTAAAATGCACTGAAACTTAATAGTGGAAGCGGTACCTGGGAGTTAGACAACTGTTGCAGGCTGCTTCCTGGGGATGTGTAACAAAAGGGAGGGCTGGTTGAGGACCGGGCCGCGGGGACACTAAGCCCCAAAATCATCTCAAGATGAGCTCCATCCACTACCCAGAGAGCATTTACAACAAAGAACATCAGGAAAGTTAAAGAGCACCAGGTACACACAGAGGGTAGTGAACATCCTGTAGTCAGTGTAAGGTAAACTGCTAGATGAGCACCACCATTTCTGCCAACTACGGTTACCATCAACACTTATGATGACCACTACTATCTGTACTACAATGGTTAATTGTAGTACAGATTAGATAATTATAGATAATATATTTCCTGTACTGATTGCACCACCTTAATTATTTTTTAAGATATGCCATCATGTGAATCTCTTTTGAATAGCTACAATTAAAACTTTAAAGGTTTTTATTTAATTCCGTGAATAAGAAGACAAGATTTTACGAAGTGTTCATATGGTTGCATATATATATATGCCACCACGGTAAATGCACTGAATTTCATTATTTTGAAATATGGATTAAATTGTTACTTCAATTATATAATTAAAACACGTATATTTATCAGGTATGAGTGTCGTAAAAAAAAATGGATTGTCTTATTTAACTAAAATGCAATTGGTGCCAACAGGTGTGAGCACACAGACTGGCAAGATCTTCCCTGCCACGTTTACTGACAAAGGACCATATCTTGTCCTTCGTTCCACTAGGGTCTTCACTGGTGCACAACAGGTTTGTTATTGCTAATTTCAAAGTTACATATACAGTGTACCTGAAAGTTACACGTACAGCACCTGAAACTTGTGTGTATATTACTTGCTTAGTACTGCATAATCCCTTTACTGTACAGTTAAATTTAATGATTTAGTCATTAGAAAATGTGGATTTGAAGATATTCAGTCACCTCATATTATGTTAAGAGCACACACACATGTAGGCCCACTACACTTCTTGTTTTATTTACAGTATTTATATACAAATAGTACAGTGGGTTTGTAGCAGTACATAACATTGGTGTTCTTACATTCTTGTAAAGCCACCAACATGCATAATGTTTTGGGAAGGCCCTTAATCTAACACATAAAGTAAAATTAATATTAAGTACATTGTAGCAAAATTTGAATTGGATATAATATTACAGGGTTATGTATACAGGAATAAGGAATTGATTCAAGTTTATTATTATAAGGGACGCTTTCTATTGGATGGGATAATGAGGGACTGTTTATGGTTAGGTATTAATGTATTTCGTGAAGCATGATTGAATATCAAGAAATGTATAATTCCTAAATGTTTTCACCTTTTAATTTCATAACCCATGGAACATTCTGCTTGGTATCTTCTTGCAACCAAATATTAATAGTAAATAATAAATTATTATTATTATTATTGCCATTTCAGAAAGCAATATCTTTAAAAAAAGTTTAGTACCTATATTTAAGTTGAAATGGCAAGTGAATATGTAGTATTGTGATAGACATTGAATACTGTATGTATTGTTTTATCAACATTTAACTAATACCAATTTTTCTTTTGTCAGATGGTTGATATTTACGACTGTGCTCTGGGATTATTGCGAATTGGGCCATTTAACTACGAGCCTCATGCAGGCGTGGAACTCCTATTACAGCAGACAGACGATGTCATTCTTCAGTGTCTGTCCACAACACCAGAAGTTGAGGGACCAAGTTGGGTCAAGATGGTGGGTGTTGCATCATTACCATACATGGTTTGAACAAAAGTACATCCTTAGCAAATGAATACAGTACTGGACTCTGTAGTATTGACCAAGGAGATAGACAAATACAATTGCAGACGATGAGTCACAATAACGTGGCAGAAAATATGAAAACTAAACCACACACACATGTGAGGACAACGTTTTGGTCCATCTTGGACCATTATCAAGTCGACAATCGACTTGATAAGGGAAAAAGTATTACCTCAACTTTTTTCTTACTTATTCAGTTTCATCAAATTAGATTTGATTAGATGGCTTTAAAAGAGAACATGATGTATTATAGGTACGATACATTGGGGGCAAGACAACACTTAACCATGTTTTAACTCATTTCCCAGCAAATACTGAATGAAGTTACCATTACATGAAGTAATATATAGGTACATTTGGTTCATGTTAAACATATGACCATTTACATTACACAGCTGTATATCCTTGCCGCTACCATCAGCGCCCACTTACCCTTCCTTACCCAGGGCTCGAACCCAAGTCAATATCGCTCACAAGACACGTGCTATGAGCAAGCTACCTTTGCACCAGTATTCAACCATGGCAAGTTTTAACTTTTCTGCATGAACTTCAACAAAGTTTGTGCTGGACTCGTGTGTTTTGTACCCAATATTTTCACTCGACCATTAGAGCAGATGTAATGACAGTTGTAATCATCAAGGAATTAACTTTGAGAGAACACTGAAAAAGATGGACTAACTAAATACAGTACTACTATATTAATAACCCAAAAGAGCAAAGAATTAATTCATTATTATTATATAAACTTCCACTATTTTTTGGACTACTTTATGCTTGATCTTTTCTTTTCTTCTGGAATATAAGGCAAGCATTTAAAATCTCTAAATAATAGGTAATGTAGTTACAAGAAAAAAATCTTTGTTTTTCAGGTACGAGAGGTACTTAAACACATCAAAGAGCATCCCTTCCCTGCAGTAACAATATTCCCAGACAATCGGCCTCATTACTTCCGTCGAGACAACTCTGGCGCATGGACTCCCGCAGAGCTCCCCAACAACAATGATTCTACTCCCGATGCTAATATTCAAGCAGCCGTTCAGGCTGTTGCCGGAGCTGCAGTTGCTGCCACAGGCGCCTGGACACAGGCAGGAGGAGTAACAACCACCTCGGCCCCACCTACACCAGCTGCTCTTTCCCCTGCCCCTTGGGGTGCTTCGGTACCTCCCAGGTCAGTAATACAATTAAAATTTTGGCTTGGCTAAAAATGTTAAACTAAATATATTATGCTATATTTCAGATTATGTATAAAGTTATTACTAGTGGGGATCAAGCCCCAAAGTTTATTGATTAGCATGATCGATCCAGACCTCGATCATTGCTCAGTGTTACTGGTCTGGTGGTGGCAGCAGAGGCGACTCTAGAGCTTTGCTAGAAGTCTATTTCATGTCATACGGGTTGTAGAATCTTAAGTCGGTCAATCGTCATAAGACCACGTGGCGTGGGGTCGACTCGAGTAAAAGTTTTGGGGTCCCCTGGATAGAGAGTTTAAGTCAGAATACGGGTACAGAGAGGGGTAGAGAGAACAAAGATACGAAGCAAAGAATGAATACCCCCCCCCCACCCCCCCCCCGTGTTAAAACACTAGGAAAGCAAGACTGAAATTAAAGTGATTCGGAAAATTATGTCTTGTTTATTTTCTATGTATATTAATTTAAAACAGGTGTTGAATTACCTAATTGTATGTAGTGACAAACAAAGACGAGATTCTAATCTCGAATGCCTGAAACGCTACGCGTACTAGTGGCTGTACAAGAATGCAAGTATTTTCATATTTTTGTTTTTCTTGCTTTTAAACAAAAGCATTTGTTACAGATATGGATCTCTGCATTTGGACTGCCGCTTGAAGACACACCTAGCTGTACCGCCAGTTGTAAATCCAGGACAACATTATGACGATCCTCTACTTAATCCCGTGAAGGATCGTTTCATGCCAGCTTGGCAGGCCTCACAATTGTGACCATCCACTTTTAATCTGCAAGACCCCTTCCCTCTGCCAGAAGGCATGGGAGCAGGCTGAATACCTGGCTGGGTGACGTGGCTCTGCGGCGGAGCACCGTCGCCACATTTCTGCACCAGCCGCCAGAATTCATCGTGCCAAACTGCAGACCACTACCATCAACTACATATTACCTACACTACTAACTCTCACACTTGTTAATGCAGTATATATATATATATATATATAGATTACCAATTTTTGGGATAGCCCACAGGAGGAATACCAAATCTTTAATTCATTTGACTAGCTACATTCTATATGTAGATTATTATTACTGTACTGAAATTTGTTATTAATTTTATTAATATTTGTTATAATGAAAGATGGATTAATGATGGATACTGGATTAAGCATAACTATTAGGCTACACATTGCAAAACATCTAGACTACAACATGGATTAAAATTGGGTGTTGCTTAAACTTAAGTTCAACTTGTGTGGACATGTGTGGGTGTGATGCAGTGTATGGTGTGTGTGTGTTGGAGAGGAGGTGGAGGTCTTGCTGCAGCGTTGACTCGGGCTCTGGCCATTAATGCTAAGTGTCTCTCTCCTCCCTGGTGCAATATTTATCCCGGGTCGGGGTATTCATCAATAACTCTGTAATACTTTTGCAGTGCCACTGTTTAGTAAAAGGTGATCACGAGTGATCCAAGATAGGAAGAAATTATTTTAACGACTAGTGTCAATGTTCAAATTAAAGAAAGTGTATTAAAGTTTTCCAACAGTGATCAGCACATTATTATATCACAGGATTATTTGCAGAGATTCTCCACCGCAGAATGTAGAAATTCATTCTCATCACATTAAATAAAATGATTGAAATGTTATCATTACTGGCCTAAATTAAGTAAGAATTTAAATTCAATGTGATAGTAATTCATTTGTCTAGGATATGAAGTCTTAAAAGCATTTTCTGTGTTCTATATTAATTCATAACACCATGCCAATACAGATGTCAATATTTCAGTTATTTTACTTAGTCTAACATTCATGATAGGGTCGACATTTCAGTTTATGCCATTTATTAAAGGGTAATATTGTAATTGTGTTGCGAGCAATATTACCTTAGGGGTAATGTATATGAATGGTTGTATTACCTTCTGTGTAATGTATATGAATCTTTTAGTGCGCATTGTTTTACCTTTGTACATGTAGATGTTCTCAGTAGGACATACACTATATAAGTCTGTGAATATTATTATTATTTTTATTTTATTTTTGGTAGTGATAGAAGGTACTTTTTATGTATTTTTTCCATTATATGCGATAGAATCTCTTAAGGTGATCTGATGTGTGACAAAAAGGGTTTTGCTTTTTTTTAGACTTTTAGATATTTGTTGTCAGGTTTATGAAAAAACTGCTCTGCAGATAAAACAGGTTGCCAAACTTTGTGCCAATAACTTGTCTGGCAAACAAAAAAATAAATAAATAAATAAATAAATAAATAAAAATAATTTTTGTTTATAGAAATTACCAAATTTAGGGGCCTAGTGTGATTGGCTGCCAAAGCAGATTTAAATGTATATTTTTCTTGTGTGACAATACAGCTTTTAAATTGTTCAAAAACTGTTTCTTACAACAATTACATTAGTATTTACATTTTATCTACTGTTTAAGGTTATAAGCTTTTTCAACCACTTATACTGTATAATAGATGTGTTTCTTCAAACAACTTTTGTTATTCAATATGGAACTAAACTTGGAAACAATGTAGTTCCTCTAATATATATATACAGTACACATTTAATAAGATTATACTGCAGAAAGTGTTCAAATTTATCAATCATGACAGCGGAGACTATTGTGGTGTTTAAGGACTTCCTTATGAATGTAGACCATTTTTTGTGGGGGCAATGCTGAATTTATTGATAATATGAATTCCAGTGTGTATGTTTGCCATGTTTGAGGTGGTGGTGGAAATTTAACTAAACACAGTAACCAAGTTGTTATTATTGGAATATCCAAAATGCAGTCTTGCTCAAAACTGTAAAATTGTATGACATAAGATTCCTTACAATAAATATAAATTTAAAATTAAAATATACTTTAGCAACGTTATATAAATATATTCAAGTAATTGGAATGTCGAATAAATTCCACTACAGAAGATTATTGTGAATAAGCTTTAGGCTCGGCTCTACCGCCGTCGCTGCCACCACTGCCTCTCTCTCTGCTAGTGTGTTTCGGAGGAGTTACAGTGTACCGTGTTGGTGGACCTTCTTGCTAGTGAACTAGCTCTCCTGTACCTGCTATGTTAACATCATCAATGCTCTTAACATGACCATTGCTATGCTCTCAAGACATTTATGATCATATTTGAAGAACAAATATGATTATAAATTATTACTGTATTTTATTGATTTTTTTTTTTTTTGTTATATGACAGTTTAATTATCAGATTTTATTAGATTCAAGATAATTTTTGTAATGTACTGTAATATTGAAAACTTGAGAATAAAATTAGTAAAAGTTTAATTTTAAATAAAAACTTTGTACAGATGACTTGGATCAAGAAGAAACATTAATTCATGTCTTCTTCCAAACTCCATTGTTTGGGATGCTAGGAGCAGGTGATAAAGAGGACTTTTGTAAATCATATAGAGCATCAAGTCTGTTTTTGCTTATTAGTAGTGTTTAACTCTCTGGAAATAGAACTTTCCAGACTGGAGGAGAAAAAGCAAAGACACGGTGGGAAGTCTTAATTAAAGAAATCTTGCACCAATATCTGAATTTACCCGAGGGCCACTATCTCCTTATTTCCCTGTGCCTCAATGGGCACAGGGAGCCAGGGGCATGTTAAAGTGTTCCCCCCCATTATTGAATTCCCCCATTATATCACTCTTTGCGGACATTACCAGCAGTTACTTGTACCTCTCTTAAGCATGTCTGTGCATTATAAATTAATATTTTTAATAAAAACAAATAATATCTTTGTTTTAAGAATATTTAATTTGACTTAATCAATGAGCAATTGAGAGAAAAAAACAGGGATCAATTCATCTTGATCAATAACTAAGGTGCTAGTGTTGAAGTGTGATGGTCAACAGTTGAGTAATTAAGATATTGATGTAATTTATAAGAATTTTCTGCTTTCTTAGGGATCATGTTATCTTTACAGAATGTAGATTGTTTTTACATGGTTTAAATCGATTCTCAGTTCATATGTTTATTGCATTATGTACTTAGTCTGTCTAACCAGCAAGTACAGTACTTATTAGTTATAATGAATATTATGTAGCATTTAACAATGTCCAGGGTGTTATTTAACATGATTGTCGTCTTTACATTTCCTTCTTTCTAACCACATTGAGGAGATTAAATCTCACCCTTCTTTCACCCCCTAGACTTTACCCCTCCAGGAAAACATTATACAAAAATTGTCATCTCTGTATTGTACATTTTGTAATAGCTTTTAAGCCTGTACCTATTATATTGAGGGAATCTTGTCTTTGAGGGCCACACATTCACAAATGTTCTATTTTTTCACAAATCACTCATTATTGTCAAATATATTTCCATGTACACCAAGTCTTTGTTTTTCCATATAACAATTTTTGGTGTTTTGTCAAATTTTACAGATTTTGAAAGAGTATTTTTCCATGATTTAAACTGAGATATATAAATTTTATAATACAGAATACTCTTAACAGAAGAGAAACTTTTGTCATTCAATCAATATCTTTATTCATAAATTATTAAACAATTTAGTACTTCACCGATTTACCCGAGGGCCACTAACCTTGGTGGCCTCGACGAGGAGAGGAAGCCAGCGGCTTGTCAAAGGTCCCTCTTCCTCTCCCTCCCCATTTCCCTTAATAAATTTATATATATACCAGAGTTCTTACATTCTTGTATAGCCACTAGCACACATAGCGTTTCAGGCAAGTCCTTAATCCTACGTTCCCCAAAATATGACCCTGCCAAATCGTTTAACAACCAGGTACCCACTGTTGGATTAAACAGAGGTTACAGTTAAGGATTTGTGCCCAGTAAATCCTCTCCGGCCAGGATACGAACCCAGGACAAAGCGCTTGCGTGGCGCCAGGCGAACGTCTAACTACTATGCCACGGGAACTGATAATCTTCTCCAGTTGTAGTTTGAAATTCTGAGTGTTTTTAACTTGCCATTTTCTAGGCAGTTTCTTATAAAATCTGAAATTACTGCTTCTGGGAACTTTCCCACAATTGATGTCAACTTACTGGTTGGTAGTTTGCAGTACCCCTTTCTCAAATACTGGAATCACATTTCTGACTCACCAGGAATGACACCAGTTCCATTTGATTTATTTAACATACTCTTAAGTGGCCCACTCAACTGCTCCTTTCAGTCTTTTAGTAATAAGAACATAAGAATGAAGGTAACTGCAGAAGGCTGCAGATACAACCTTGTTGAGGGTTGCATCCTGAGAAAGGTCAGTAGTTGGTCTAAGGAGACCTCGATAAGTTTTTTTGTCTCCGACAATGGGAATTATAAGCTCTTTGGTCTTTCCTTATTTTTTGTTTGACCTGAGCACATTGTGTTATCTTATTAAGTATATATTTTTTCCATAGTTTTTATTGAAACTAAATGGTTATTGTGTTATATTTCCCCATTTTTGTGTTGTCTATCATTTCCTGTTATTTACACCCATACCAAAAGCCATTTAAGGTCTTGCATACTATTTCCTCTAATGAGTCTTTAAAAGCTGCCATTCCCTGCCTTGAGAAATGAACTCCATCTCTCACATACATGATATTCTTGCCAATGTACGAGTCCCAGTTATCCATGAATGGTATTTAATTATTCATGCAATAAGTTGAAACACTGGCTTATACCAATCACTCTACATCCACACCCTGGTGACTCTCTCTTAGTAAAAACACACATCTACTACTCACATATAGCAGTACCTTATATTTATCCAACAACTCGTTCCTCTCTCAGGAAATATCATTTCCACTTACTAAGACAGTGGGCCTGTTCCCATTGCCTAACAATAAATCGGTCATGCTTTCCATTATATCAGCCATCCTTACTCCCTAAAAACACACCCAAATATTAATTTTTTGTATCCCCGGAACAGAACATCTCCATAATGCACCTGTGAATTCCCTACTTTCTTTGTTGTGGCATTCAGCTTTATCTTCTTTGTACCTGCACAAATTCTACCTGTAAAATGGAGGTAGTTCATCGCTAGTTTTAACAGTCTTCAGGATCACTAACCACTACTGACCACTAACAGGACATCTTGGCTCTAACCACTGCTAAGTTCAATTTCCACGACAGGACTGAGGCATTTGGGCAATGTTTTTTTTCACCTGATGCCTCTATTTACCTAGTAGCATGTAAATATTCCTCAATAAGGTAACTAATGACATTAGTAAGGTATTTTGTATAGTATCTCGGGAAAGATCAGTAGTTATCCTAGGGGGGGTCTTGATAAGCCTAACAGGCTTCCTGTCCCTAACTGGGAAACCAAAACGGCTCCTCGTTTGGGGCCATTGTAGCAACTAATTATTATACTTCCTCCAAACGCGCATTATCTCTTGTACAGATAATGAGATAGGGTTAACAAAACCAAGTTATCACATTCCTCATTGCAATTCCCAAATGTACAATAAAACGCTACACCGTTTTTGTAAAGACATTTTTAGTGACAACATTACCCCATTTCAGTTACTTTGAATACCAATAATAATCCATATGTTCTCTACGAGACATATGCTTACTACTTTTATAGTGTTGCAGATTTCATAAAGTCAATGTCCTATATCCTGGCAACAGATGTTGACTTCAGTACTTAAATTAATATAGCTTCTACCATGCTCAGTAATATTAGTGTTAAACCTATAAAATCAATATCTGACCTCATCTGATAATCCATGCATATTCCAAAATTGTTGATCCCAGAGATTATTTTAAGATTCAGCCTTCACCAAACAAGCAAACCACACTAGTTATATGGTCTATCTGGTTACCAAGGTACTTCTGAAATGACCCAAAGGCACGATTCACACAAGTAGGCGACGAGTCGCAATAACGTGGCTAAAGTACATTGACCAGACCACACACTAGAAGGTGAAGGGACGACGACGTTTCGGTCTGGTCAACAAATAAAATGTTTATTCAGGTAAGGTACATACATACAAGAGATTTTACAAAAATTTATAGATTTATAGATAGAGCTAGTACATACAATGCCTAAAGCCACTATTACGCAAAGCGTTTCGGGCAGGACAAACATTAAAGACTAAAACTTAATACTAATTGAGTTTAAAGTATAAAATGTGTTGAGAACAAATAAAGATAAAAATAAGAAAGGGGGAACATGGCTGAAAAAGCAGCACAAATACAAATAGGTCGACAACATGATTCACACAAGCTGCGGAGGTCCTATTTGAAACCTTTGAGATCACCATCAACTAGGAGTAGCACAGCCACACCTTGGCACTACCACCCCTCAAAATGTTTGGGTTGTTGGCTTCATATAAACGGCTCAGATGAATCACTGTCCTAAAGACCACCTTTCTAGCCTCATCTCTGTCTGTGGAATTACCCAAATCTACCCAAATTCTGTTAGCATTATGTAATGAAGAAATATGTATATTTACTCACTATAATGTTGGTGCTGAATGCAGAATATAAAACCTATTTTTAATCAGAGATAATTAATTTCATAACGAAATTGGAAGTAAATATGTAGCTCAACATGAGAGTGGGGGGGGGGGATGTCTCAACACGAGAGAGAGGAGGGTTCAACACGAGTTATTCCATCATAAACCTCGTTTATGAATGAAAAACGGTTTAATTATAAATCATATTATAATTTATTGTTTTGGGGACAGGAAGCCAGAGTGTATTGACACACGTTAGGGTTTTATCAAGCTCATCCCTAAGGTCGAATTACTGATCCTGCGGAGGATGCAACCCCACAAGCTAACTCCCGAGTATGAATGAAAAACAGTTTACACTAGAGAGTGATTTCGTTCGAACACTTCCGGACACACTTTTTCCATGTTCGAATTGTGTTCGAACCGAAACACTGTAAATGCTTCACCCACTGTGGTAAACAAACATTGCCAGACAATAACAACTATTGTTATTAACAATAAGCAATGAAAGTAGTTTCTGACACCTAGATTCAGCTAGAAATTACATTCTACCCACCTGGACACAAGTTCGACCCGGCTGACCTGACGATCAAAACAATAACAATCAAGCGAGCGTCTAGCCGCTATGACAATAGCTCCGCCCCCGATACGGGAGGCTACGTATGTATGATATTTTTACTTCACCCACGTGCTATAAATACAAATAATCGCCAACAGAACCTACACACCTAACCTAACCTATGCCTATGTATGCACAATATGCTAATATATTATAATATTAATTTATATTTGAGAAAATTCCCGTTTTGAATGAACAGCATGTTAATTAAAATTTATGACTGCTTCTGTGGGGTCGACCGCTGGATGGAATGGACCTGAGTCGAGGACGGGTTGTTGGTGGGTGCATGGAATGGACTTTGGGTCATTGTTTAGAGGACGGGCTGTTTTCAGCGTTGTAGTTCGAACATAAGTCGTCAGTGAAACACTTGTTCCCGAAGTGTTCGGACGTTATCAGTTGTGAGTCGTGTGTAAACCGTTTTTCATTCATAAACAGGGGGTTTGGCGGCTGGATTAACGAGCATTTGGCCTTTGTTTATGAGAACGGGCTGCTCAATAATCACAAACTAAGAGCCACCCACTGAGGTAACAGTGATACTGCTCGTCAGTGGGAGAACTTTGAGCATAGACTACTACACTGGCAACCAACTCTGTGGAGGACGTAAGACTATCTGGAGGCGAGGCTTCTCAGACTCGGGAAATGAAAATAACACTGTTTTTCATCACAGTGTTTGCCATTGTTGTGGCCTCGGTGGTCTTAATTGGTGAACAGGTAATGTATCCAGTACGGCTGGAGATTCCGCTGTGTATTTCATTCTACTTTCTTGATGGCAGAAAACAATATGCGGTCATAATGCTAAAATATGTATTGCTATATAGACATATTAATATGCCATTAATTTGTTTATACTAATTGTTGGAAAATCGGTAAACAAAACGTATATAACAGAACTGGACGTCTAGTGTGTTAATCTGTTGAGAAATTAGCATATTAAAGTTTCGGTGATATAATCTTTGGTTCGTAATTCTAGGTTTGTTGAACTCCGTAGGACTTTGGTGAACCCTAACAAAAATTATAGAAATTAGAACCCCTGAACTAAAGTAATTATTTTTAAATAACATATTCCAACTTTTTTATTGTTGAAGTATGGGTGTTCTTGACGTGTCTAGGGAAAGTGCACGTTAGTTTTCATTAGTCATGTCGCTGTAATAGACTAAGTTCAGTCACTAAGGTATAGTGTGTAAATATTTTTAACTGCATTATTATTATAAGAATTAATTATTAAACTAGATGATATAGCAATTCAATGTTAATTATTAACATAACTATAGTAGTGGAATAATTGTTATTAAGAACGTGATAGCCTATCAAGTGACTTGCCCTGGTAACCAAGCAGTTTCAGATATACAGTACTCTTGCAGACGAGGAGCCACAATAACGTGGCTGAAATATGTTGACCAGACCACACACGAGAAAGTGAAGGGACGACGACGTTTCGCTCTGCCCTGGACCATTCTCTAGTCGATTTTTTGGTCAAGTCGAGAATGGTCCACGACGGACCGAAACGCCGTCGTCCCTTCACTTTCTAGTGTGTGGTTTGGTCAACATACAGTAATCTTATTTTTACTACAGAACACGTTACTGTCGCCTTTCTGTCGTGCAATGGAGGGAGGAGTCACATGCCAAGTTAGACAAGCAGAGGTCCAGGTCAGCAGACAAGAACTGGAAAGCCCTGGCTCATCCCAGGGTGGATCGGCAACGTCCAACATCAGCGAGGAGAAGCTCCGAGGAAGATCCTCTCCCCAGGTGGGCAAAAACGAGGCTCGGGGAAGACCAATCCCGTCTGGGATCAGCGGAGAGGAGCCCCAGGAAAGACCAACCACGCCTCTGGCCAGCTGGATGAGGGTAGGGGAGGATATGCGAGAGAGAGCAGCTCACATGAGGCGAGTGTGTGAGGTGCCCTCCGTGAGGCGGAGTGTTCCCAGCATGCCATGGACCCGCAAGCTCTACACACTACCAGGACCTTTTCCTGTGTGCGTCGCGCCCAAGGTTAGTAGTATATATTGAATTCTCACACACAGACAGAGATACAGAGACAGACCGACCTTATAACGGTCAAGAACGGACCGAAACGTCGTAGTTTCATTAATTGATGTGCGGTTTGGTCATCCACACGTTACTGGATCATCGCAGCCGAGGATCATCACCTGTATCTGTATATATTTCTTGGTCTATGAACTGGGAATATTAGTTTTATAGTAGCTTGAGTTTCCCCCTAGCTCTCTACTCTCCCTCGAACTCTTAAACAAGTATACTCATTACTAGATACTCAAGCGGTTTACCTGCATTTACATCGGTATATTCTCTTAGTTTCTAATGAATTGGGATGCTTCTAGTATGTGTAATGTTTATGAAAATGCTAGGAAAAAATAAATTATATAAACTGCATAGTAACTGCTTAGAAATATTTATAAAATATATAAATTATAGACTGCGTACGAGTTAGGTAATGGAACGCAAGATTCCATTACCTAACTAGACAAAATCTAACAAATCATTTCTCATGATATTACTAGGGCTACAGATTTGTCGGAATACTTTTTTTTTATAGGAGCGCTGAGCTCTTTCATGTTTGTAATACAAGTAATTATACCGCGCTGGGGCTAAGATTTGATTTTTTAAGCATGCTTCGCTTTTTTTCTAGCCAGATACTTTATAGTTTATTCTACGTCAAATGCGTGGTGGCTAGAATTCTTGTGCTTCAGCGTCGTACGTTTAAAGAGGATTGACTGGGCGCCAATCCTTAACTGTAGCCTCTGTTCACCCAGCAGTGAATGGGTACCAAGTGAATGGGTTTATATACATTTTGCACATTTGGTTATAGAATAATTATTATAATGTTTTGGAGGAAGAATTTGGCCAATTTTCATGGTTTATATTGTTCGTCTTTGAACAAATCCACAAGGGCAGTGACGAGGATTCGAACCTGCGTCCGGGAGCATCCCAGACACTGCCTTAATCGACTGAGCTACGACAAGGTAAAAAGGTTGAAACCGAAGTTCTACTGAGCTTACTGGATCCCGTAGCCTCTCCGAGGCACAAACCAGGCTTTCATTTGCATACAACAGTGTGCTGAATCCGGTAAATTCGTGTTAGGGAAGTACAGCATGTGCAACACGCGCTGCACATATAAAGGTGTAAAATATGTGGTAAAGACGCAACTAATTAAACAGTTTGCAACATAAGGATAAGTAGATGTACTGGATGTTCCCAATCCACCTTTTCCTTAACGTGTGTGAAAGCTCTGTAAACGCTTGAAGTGCGTTCAGTCAGTCAGTGAATAGTATTTCTTGTTTGAGGGGGAATAGTATACAATGGGGAGGCTTTTAACCTCAAATTCTCAAGTCTTTCAAAATAAAAGTTGCATTTCTAGCCTGTCTCTGCACTACCAGGTGGGGTCGACAACGTGGAGACGCTTCATGCTTCAATTCAGACAGCGTAGGCCTAAGCTGAGACGAGACCTGAGAACTCTGGTGGTTCGACACCCGCTGGCCCGCCTGGCCTCCGCCTACAGGTAGTGTGACGTTAACTACAGGTTGTCGAGATGTTGTTGTTGTTTAAGATTCGCTACCTAAAACAAAAAGTTCCATGTAGCACGGGCTATGGTGAGCCCGTAGGTAGTCGAGAGATCGCAGTCTTCTCTGGGGTGTCGGTACTGTAGATGCTTTGTGTAATGTAAATTTTGCCTTGTTATGCGTCTTTTAATTTTAGATATAGTCATCCAATGAGAACTCTATTGATTCAGAAGAAAAATGTATATAATTTCCTTCAGGAAGCTCGCATATGAGCGTACAGCTATGCTATGATAACTGCATATCTAGCATACATATATGCCTTGAAAGAACAGATACTGTATTAATATGTGTTGAAGTTTGTATTTATCTTGGAGAAATTGTAAATAGCATGGCGATAAAAACAACACCTGGAAGCCTCATAGAGACGTGTGCTGGACACAACCTACAAGGGGCCCTAAAACAAAGGGCTTAGAGTAAATATAATACATTAATCTGGCCAAGGGAACTAAAATTGAAAGGCCGTATAGTCAGAAACAAAATGATGAGCAAGCCTATTGAGATTTTGTCTATTTTTGTTGTTTTGGTAAATTAAAATTTGAAGGCGATCAATGGGAATTGAAAGTTCTAAAGAAATGTATTTTAGAATAATCGTGTATGCCAAGTAACTTGACATGACCTCCCAAGTAACTTACCTGGGAATTAGTTGGCTTGTGAAGCTCCTAATTTGGCAACGGAATAGAAAACAGCTTCCCATCTTCTATGGCTGGGCATGTTAGGCCAGTCTTGTACCTTTGGTCTGGCTTCTTTTGGTCTAAGAGTGTGAGCCTAAGCCTCACATACAATTTATAAGATCAATTATCTACTAAATAACTTCTGGTTTTATATTTTTCAGAGACAAGTTCCTAAATGGTTTACCGTTAAAAGCATACAACAAAACGTTCAGAACTATGACTGGAAGCGGTCAGACCTGGCAATATAGGTGGGAGTTGTACTGGCTTCCTTCTCTTGTGCGCAAAGGACTTGTCAAACCCCCATCTGAATTTTTCACAACAATAAGAGAAATCTCTCGAGCCTTCGATTATTTGGCAACAAATTTCGTCGACACATCTGGTCAGCTTCACCGGAGCAAAGCCTCAAACACATCTTACTCTCAGCAAGCCTTGAAAACCGCCATGAATATGCTTTCTCGCAGCAAGCAAGAAGGAATGGTCGCCGCTGTTGCTGCCGGGTTTTCAAAGACGGAGCAAGCGAAGCTCAAGAGAAAGTTCGGCAACGTTTCCTTCACCATGACAGAGTTCCTAGAGCACGTGCTGTGGACAAGAAACTTGGGAATGGTTGACCAACACTGGACCCCCATCAGCGAGCTGTGCGACCCATGTCGAATCAACTATACCTACGTCTTGCGTCTGGAGAACAACCCAGTCGAGTCTAATTACTTGCTGAGCCGCTTCCACGTCCTGAGGAAGAGCCTTCGCACGAGACACAAGTCCATAGGGGTATTTCCAGACCAATCTAGGTCTGACCTTAGCTACTATGAAAATGTTCCCAAGGACCTTATGACCAAAATTCAGAACATGTATAAGTTGGACTTTGAACTCTTTGGATATGATAAAAACCTAATCTAAAATTAATAAGGCGATCAACATTTATTGTTAATTTAGCAGTATACGTACCAGGGGCCGGATTCAGGAAGGTACTTACGAAGGTTTTTCCTCTTAGCTAAGAGCGAATTCCTTCTTAGCGCCTTCGTGGCGGCTAGGTCCGTATTCAAGTAGGTACCCTAAGTGGAAAAACCTTCGTAAGTTCATATTAAAAAAGAGAGAGGGAAGTAGGGGTCCAAAACCTCTTCCTGTTATACAATTTGGGTGTGGAACAAGTAATTATCAAAAGAAGGCACCATGCCGGGAAGGCTATGTAGCAGTAAGGCAGTGAGGTGAGGCAGCTACTTATTTGAGAAATGCTTATTTTATTTACCTTATAAGCTGAGGCAACTTATTTTATTTGAGGAATACTCAGCTGATTCCTCTACATTTAGCATGGAACAAATTTGTGTCCAAGACCTCTTCCTGTTACTCAATTTGGCTGTGTGTAACCAAACTAGAAGTGCTCTACAAATCAAGGGACCCAGAATGTGGAATGACCTCCCGAATCATGTCAAAGGCTGTACCTCTCTCAACCAGTTTAAGAGTTAAACCAAGTACTGCCTAATTAACTCCATGTAACCTAACTTACCTCCTAAATGTCAACCCATGTCTTGCTATTTTTTAAACAACGCTGTTCACCAACATGTGCAATTGCTGAGTTATGCTATGCTAACCCCCCTTTTTGTATTTTTTATTCCTTCTTTCAACACAATTTATACCTAATCCCGATTACTAAGTTTTAGTCTGTGTTTTTTCCCCCACACCTTGCCCGAAATGCTATGAGTATTAGTGGCTTTAGGTATTGTATGTACTAGCTCTGTCTATAAATCCAACATTATGTTTGTAAATCAACTGTATGTACTTTTCCTGAATAAAATGTATTTATTATTTATTTTTTAATCAGTAAGTATTAAAAGAAGGCACCAAGCTGGGAAGGCTATGTAGCACCATTGTGTGTAACAATAAACCAAATTTTTTTTAACAAATAATGCACCTGTATGGTAAAACAAATCCTGTCAGCTGTAAAAATATTGATGCAGTTATTTAAATGAAAAATATAATGAAAGAAATATTACTGGTTTATTTTTATCCTATCTTTTTGTACTGTACAGTATATCCAAGGAAGTGAAAAATTGAGACATAATACACAATTTAATGAATGATTAGCATGGATTAGCAGTTCAAAAGAAATATGACTTGTATTACATATCAACATGAGATCTTAATGATCCATGGTCAACATGATTTAATAAGGATAATACAGTACTGTATTTGTAATAATACAAACTATAATTTAAAATCTTTATTACTGATTTTTTTTTATTAAGAAGATTAGGTATACACAGCAATGTGCTGCTACCCTATTCTATATGGAATATTACACAGTGTAGATAAAAAACTAGCTATAAGTTTATCTAATACTCCCATCTCACAGGATGGTTAGACATACTGTACATGGAATCAATTTAGAAAATACCAGCCTCAATACAAAAAACAAATCAACTCTGACTAAACAACTCTAAGCAGTTTTCACAAGAGGTAAGCACTGAATCATGGAAACATTATATTATAATTACTCTTACCAGTTTCTACAAAACTCCTCTCAAACAATGTATTTTTAAACATGTTTAGGTATACACAGCAATGTGCTGCTTCCCTATTCTGTCTAAAGGACCACACAGTGTAGATCAAAAACCAGCTACAAGCTCACCTCACAGGATGGCCAGTCATACATGGAATTAGGAGAGAACAAAATACTTAATGCTGATCTATTAGCCTCCACTGGCAAAATCTGGGTGCAGCACAAGAATATCTTCCAATATTCCTGAGTGTATGAAGTAATTACAGAGCTCAAAATACCTCATACCATTTGGTATGAAGTCACTGATAACAGGACAATCACAGATATAGTGTTGGAGAGTATGTTCTCTCAAGTAGGACTGAAAACAGATGTTTTTTCCACCAAGAGGGCTATAAACCCATGGAACCGCCTACCCGCTGAAGCCGTAAATGCCAAATTCCAGCTAAAAAATATAATTAAGACAATTGGCGGGCCCTTCAACAAGCCGCCGGCTTTCTGTCCTCTTCGAGGTCACTAGATAGTTAGTGGCCCTTGGGTAAATTCAGTAAATATATACAATAATTGTCAGCGCATCTTCCGAGCAACAAGGACAGCTACACAGTATCTCTTAGAATTACGTAGGTAAACAACAAATGTAACATATTTGTTTACTACAATGTCGGTGCTGGCTGTAGAAGTTGAAAAAACATTGTTTTACTTCGAAATATACTAATTTTATAAGAAAATTCGACGTAAATAGGAGGCAGTAGAGCTGCGACAAGCCAGCGCTAAATCTTCAATATGAAGAATGTTGCTGCTCTCTGATTGGCCAAACGAAACACAGTAGTGACCTCTATCGGCACGCAGGTGAACCAACAATTTTTCTTCCTAAGTATACCTTATTGAATAGCACCTAAGCATCTTCTTAGGGCGCACTTAGGAACCTTCGTAGCAAACCCACTTACGAAGAAATACACAGAGCTTCCTGAATCTAGGTCCAGTATTTTAATTCTATACATATTTAGTTTTGCATAAATTATTTTCCATATTAATTAAGCATTATCCTACCCAATGCCAAATCAACGTTTGGCAGCGTTCAGAAAACTGTGGCAAGCAAGAGCAACTATTAGTGCTGCACTAGGTGTATTTAAAGTGATTTGTAGATACCCTTAACTTGGTATTATAGTTATTTAACAAATAATAGTATGGAAGGCTTCTTATTTATTGGCTAGCTCGCTTGCACGCCAGAGGACCTAGATTCGAATCCTGGGGAAAGTGGGACGAAATCCTAACTTAAACAATGCTGTGAACCTCCAAAACCAATTAAATTATTGTAGTGTTAACACTAGTCAAGTTGGATTTCCTTTACAGGAAATAGTGTTGTGGATGAAGAGCACGAATGAACAATTAGCGAGCAAAGAAACTTAAAAACAATGCGATATGGTTCGAAATAAATATTATGGCATGCCGAGGCTTTTTTTTTTTTAAGCATGTCTTAGGCTACTTAGGCTACAAGTGGGAACAAATAAATATTACCTTTAGGCAATATGTTATCAATATAAAATGGTTTCTGAATTGGAGTATCATGTAAACTATTACAGGGGGCGCATATAGTCTTTATGGCGTAAATCGATTAGCTCGAGATCTTAGCCAAGTTGTTAAGTAAGGAATGGCCTGAATTATCCCGTGTGTGGTCGAAATGAGGGTACCGTGGAAGAAATTTTGCATACTATAAGCAGATGGTTCTTGACACCATGTATATTTTTTCTATTCCATTCCTTTATATCCGTTGACTCTTTTTATTGACTGAATTAGGGCGCGCTTTAGGCTACTACTCTCCTTAAAATAATCTCACGATGATGGCGCTAGTTTAGTGTTTAAAAATGGTATGGTTGTTGCTCTCACGAAGTCCACCGAAGATTAAAGTCCCTACACAAGTAGCAAGTGTAATGGCGACAGTTTCTCTCAAATAATATGGATGGCACAACCCACTTTGTTTGATTTATGTTAGCGCTGATAAAGCTTTCTCCCAGAGCCAGTACTTCCCATGTCAGTTTTCCCTATTCTGATCAGTTTCTAATTTTATTACACTTATGGATGAACCACATCCTTGTTAAATTTATCCGGAAGAACTTGATGATTTAGTAATTATCAAAAGAAGGCACCAAGACGGTATAATATTAGATTTAGATTTTTTTATTCAGGTAAAGGTACATACATTGAGTTACATAATAGATTTAAAGATAGAGATAGTACATATAATACCTAAAGTCACTAGTACGCATAGCGTTTCGGGCGACTATTTAGTACCGTCCGTGTTGGTGCTAAATATTATATCCTGAATGGGTCCTGAATATTTATCTGGATCTGGTACTAAAGGAAAAAGACAAGATGGACAACGTCAATGATATTGGATTCATCAAGGATCTGGTCGAGGGACAAGTGACTCAAAGGGACATTTGCAAAGTCAAAAGAAGGCACCAAGCCCGGAGGATCTTGACTATTCTTTTGGCTGTCCACCTAGATGGATTGAATAACTATCTACGGGCTCACCATGCAACCCGTTCTCGCAAATTTAATAAGTCAATATTGACTTATTAGTTGCGTGCATAGGTGACATACTAAACATAATAGTTTCCCTTGAAAAACTTCATAGAAAACACCGACCTTACCTAACCTACTTAGTATGTTAAAATAAGCATCTTATAGCTTCGTAATTACAATTGTTACTTAACCTATTATAGGTATAGGTTAGGTAATAATTGTAATTACGAAGCAATAAGATGCTTATCTTAACATACTAAGTAGGTTAGGTAAGGTCGGTGTTTTCTATGAAGCTTTTCAAGGGAAACTATTATGTTAAGTATGTCACCTATGCACATATTTAATAAGTCAATATTGACTTATTAAATTTGCGAGAACGGGTTGCACCATAGCCCGTGTTACTTGGAACTGTTTGTTCTAAGTAGCGAATCTTTAACAACAATAACAGATGGATTGATATTTATTTGGAATGTGAAGTTCCTTTGAATGAGTGGTTCTATATTTGTGTCTTTCCCAAGATGACCGCTACAAAGCAGGGTTTAATCCTTGTTTATTAACGAAGGCAGATCACAACTTTTTACACGTTTGATAAAGTTGGCCTCTCGACACCACAAATTTATAAACAAGACCGTGAGGAATTAGACGGCAATATACTGGCAATTTTTTTTCCATATTAGAACCTCAAACATCTTAACACAATCTTAAACACAATGTTTAACACAATCTTAAACAAGTTTTCACCATGATTTAATGTTTTGGTATACAAAATTGGTATCATTTATTAAGCTTATGTAGTTACCCCTGGATCTTACTGTGCTAATTGAGCTTGGTAATTTATCTCCAGGGTTCACGAATATTCACGAAGCAGTTACGTAATTACTTACGAACGTGTACATCTTTTCTCAATCTTTAACGGCTTTGGTTACATTTATTAAACAGTTTGCAAGCATGAAACTTGCCAATCAACTGTTGTTATTGTTATAAACAGCCTCCTGGTGCTTCGGAGCTCATTAACTGT